CCCTTCCTCCCTTCTCCCCTACAGTGCGTCATCCCGGCACCTTGCCCATATGTCACCCCGTGGTGTGGGTGAGGTTGCCACAGCAACAGCACACACTCGGTCACACCCCCTGTAGCTACAGAGGTGTGAGTCAGTCTAAAAGTTTTACTAGGTTTTCATTCGCCTGTGATGCGCTGCCCAGCCATCTGCAGTTACTCGCCCGTCCAGTGCTTACAAACCTGCTGGAAACCCTCAATGGGTCGCTTTAGGTATTTTCACCTCCATCCTTTGGGATGAAATCTCTGCAGATTGGTCCTGCGCAAGTCGGTCACCTGCCCAGCCCCCGGCACAGAAACCAGCTGGTTCATCAGCCATCCCATAGACATGCCAGGCATTTGGGCAATAACTAAGTTGATATTTACTTTTTAAAGGATATGTAAAGCAGTGGTAGTGAGTAACTGCTGAAGAATAAAACTGGAGTTACCTACAGTGCACTGTAAAACCTGATTTTCTTTCTGTTAAAGCAGTGAGATAAGTTTTCAGTAATACCTAACTTACAACTCTGCTCATTTTTTCAGACATGGAGATGACTTGATTGTGACACCATTTGCTCAGGTAGGCACAATTTTGCCATATTTCTCACATGGTCTTGCAATTTAAAGGCCATATGGTCAAACCAGTTGTTTTCTGTTGTTAATATTATATAAGGTATGTTTGCTTGAGACAGGAAAAAAATGTCTAAACAGAAAGTCATAAACTGCCCACTCTGTTATCTATACCTCTCTTTTTTAATGGTTTTTGCTTAGCTGAGAAGTTGAAGTGCAACAATACGATAAACACCTTCAGCTGATCTCTTCTCAAATACTGTAGCAGACAGTCATGATGAAGACCAATCTGTGCTCTCTGTTATTCTTCTGCTTTTTATAATTATAATTTCTCCTTTTGAACATCTTTTATGCATTCAATACAAGGTAGTTCTTAGATGCAAGATAAGTTTTACCCAGAATACTTATGTTCCTTTACAAAACCATCTCTATGTGTTTGATTTTTCCATTCAGATTCTGTTTTATAAAATCAGCTCATAATTCTATATAATTTAGATCAAAACTCCACAATTTTTAGCAATAGAGCTGTCTTGTCATGTATGAAAAGTTAACATTGATATGAACTCATGAGGATTGGTTTTACTCTGTAATAGATAGGAATGAAAGTTAATTCAGTGTAACTACAGGGGGAAAAAAAAAACCTGGAACTCATATGTGATTGAAGGTGAATGGAAAGAGAAAGGTAGAGTCACACAGCAGTCTCAAATAAGAAGAAGGGGTCCAACTTCAGTCTGAATATGCAAGTTGCTTTGGTCTAATGATCAGCTCTTAAAACCATTAATATTAATTTAATAGGTTATTATATATTTAGTTATATTGTGAACAGATACAGTGTTTATAAGACACTGGCTGATCAAATCCTTAATATGAATACCTTCATCTCTTATTAGCAGGTAAAAGATTAAGCCAGGGCCTTTTATAAGAATCCTTTAAGATCTCTCAAATGGTAAATATACTTCAACAATTACGGAAGAGAAGAAATTACAGGAAAAACAAGAAAAAAAAAAAGTAAAATCACTTCTGGTTTTAGTTCCTCAGGAAACAACCCTAAGTCTTGAGCACAGAAAAAATACAAATTGCATGGTGGTCAAGCAATCCAATAATATTTACTATAGTTGAGTTCATGTTTATTGTCACCTGAACTTTTATTATAAATTAATGCCACGTGGGTAAGACAGGTTATAGTATGCCTAGAAAAACAGCAAATATTACACCCCATTTGTGGCTATTTTTTTCCTGGGACAAAACACCCTGTTTGTTTTAAGGGCAGTTTCATATTTTTGTTGGCGTTGATGGACGTGCTTCAGCAATTAGAACAGGAGCAGTTGAATGTTATTGCTACTTGCACCAAGGTGTTGTAATTGATTATTTGAGAGCTTTAAGTGTTTCAGTGCAAAACCCTGTTAGCAGTGGTTTAAATCAACCTGTTTTCCTTTGCATTGAACAGGAGAAAGAGCACCCACAGGGTGACTTAATCACATGTCACATTCCCTGACACAGGGGGAATTGAGATGCAGTTGAGAGAGCGTGCCTAATAGAGGGGAAGTGACATCTGATTAGACTCTCAGGAAAAACGTAGCTCTTTTCTAAAAATTATTTGAATATGCAAAATCCCATCGCCCAGTGGGGCCTGCTCACAGACTGCATCTGCAGCTAAACACGGGGCCCGCCCCTCTGAGTTACGTTAGCAGTATTAGGACCTCACTCAGGACTTCAGAAATTGGATCCCGTGTGGCACTACACATCATACAGACCACCCTTTTAATGTCTTCCTAGAGTAATATTTCATCATGTAGATGCATTTTTGTGTTGCAAGCAGCCAAAGCACCATTTTAATCCATTCAGGGCTTCCTGGTGGCAGTAGTTCATGGCATGTGGGACACATGTTGCAGCTATTTCAAACCGTCTGTATTTTCTTCAATTGATCAGGAGTCTTGTTTCATCTGATCATGAGCCACCTGGTGGTAATAGTTCCAGTTTTAGCACTTCAGTTATTATTCAGCACATTACCATGGTAGTGTGGCTGCATTTGTTAACTGGAGGCAGGGTGGCACGCTGCGTCCGCCACATAGAATCTGGCCCTAGGACAACATAATTTACTATTTTTACCAGAATGGTATTTTGTAAGTTAAAATTAAAAAACCTATCACAAGAATATTATTAGTTGCACTTCCCTATATTGTAATATACAGCAACTGCTGTAATTTAATTATTTGTACAATTTCATTTTTCAAAATAAAATCATTTTGAGTGATTTGAAATTTAAGGATCAATTCTGTAGTTTTTTTATCATCAAAAAAGTTTGATTTTTAACTCACTTGCAACTGTTTGTATATAACTTGATTTTGAAAATAATATTATTTACTTAGGGATTAAACCTAAAGAGGTTTGCAGGTGACTGGTTGCTTTCTGCTCACAAATCTAACTCTAGAAACATTAAGCATAAGTGGAACCACTGTGGACAAAGAAACTGTCACTTAAAGCAAATTATAATAAAAAATTGAAATATTATTTCATGTACTTACACTATAATAGACTTATAAATATTAGTATCTTTATACAATAAATCCAGTTGTTTAGCTCCACTGTAGCCAATGGCCAAAGTTTTTGTTGTCATTTTTACATTCATTGCTATGTATGTGGGGACGCCTTGCACTTGCAGAAACTCAAAATATGTGCATGTATGCTAAAGCAGCTGGGATGCGGGGCAGATTCTGGACATTTCTCCCCTGGATCTACAAAGCAGTTATCTGACCTGCCAGAAGAACAAATAGAAGGACATACAAACCAAACAGTCAAGTCTCTGCTTTCTGAACAAGGAAAGATTCATCATATCTCAGACAGTGGAAAAATCTGGTCAGTGGGCATAGTGTTGGGCACGGTGGAGAGACTCCCTCTTCAGGCACTGAGCAAGGCTCATCAGCCTCCACTCGTAACTGGACCTGAGCAACCTTGCAGCTCTGCAGACTTCTTTCCCCAGCACCCCAGGTGCTAAATGTCATGTTATTTCAGATCCAACACATACCTCAGCTAGGTTCATGTTTTCACATGGCATTGTGCCTAGCCTACTAACCTTTCTGAAACTCAGCCCTGCCCAGCAGGTACAGAGTCATTCATTGCAGTCCAGCAGAGGCAGAGCTAATAAGCATGGCTGTACCTGAGATCACTCACCGAGGAGTCACTTAGCTACCTTTGTACATGCTCCCAATTCTCAGTGCACCTGAATATACAGCAAATTTGAGTCTAACAGAGCTTATTGAGTAGCAACTTGCAGCCAGGAAAACCAATTACGTTTTTTCATGGCCTGAGACAGCTCTGGGAGCCACATAGATATGTTTCTCTGATAATATGTTTCTCTGATAACATGGTAATATGATAATACCGTTTCTCAGATCGCACATACAAGCAATCTCAGCATCCTAGCACACATAAATTGAACCCAGGCAGACTGGCCAGAGAGAACTGAAAATGGACTGCAGTCACTAAAATGTGTGTCTTACCTTAATAGGCACAACTTTTTTCTGTTTATGCTTTCCTTCTCCTTCCACCTTCAACTTATCCTTTCCTTTTACAATATTTTCATACTTCAGCAGTTTTTCTTTGTATTTTATGTATTCATTCTTGAACTTTTTATCTCCAAGATCTTCTTTCCCCTTCTGCTCAGTTCATGCCCGATTTCCATCCATGTATATCCAACATCTAAATACAACATTTGTTAGTGTCACTGTACCCTGGGCATGCAGATTTGATGGCATATATAATTATTTTTATTCCATGCTGAATGTAAAATATGTGAGTTTGCCCCCTGATCTTTGGAAAGGAAAACGTAATGAAATTAATACTGTCTAATTAGGCAACAAATGTATGTTTATTTTTATTATCTGAACTCATTTGGGAATTACCGACAATAGCTTGAACACTGCCAGTCATTATTATCTCCTGAATATTTTCTGTCTGTTACAAGCTTTCACTAAATCCTCCTTTTCTCTTCAGCCTCCTACCCCCTTCCTACCTCATGTATAACTTTAAGGGGCTATGAAAAGAGGGTTGTATCCTCCTCGACTCAGACCTCTGGAACCCAAATTCCCATTTCCGCCTTTGTTATTCCTGGGATGGGTTCACTAGGGAACCAGCCCAGTCTGGGCTGAGAAACAACAATGGGCAACTCCTGCAAAGACACACCAGTGATTAGTGTTGCTGCCTCCTCCCGTTCCCAGTCTGGTTCCAAACAACTCATGGTTCCTCTCTGACATCAGCTGAACTGCCTCTCCCTAGTCGGAGAGGTGCATCTTATTACCCTTACATGGTACAAAATTTGTTGCATTTGTCCAGCTACCTTCAGAAGAGAGTGCCTACGTCACTGATAACAAGAAGATACTCCCCTACTGCCTCCACTAGCTGCTGTCTTGCATGAAATTAAGTCCAGAAAGGAAGTAGTTCATTTATGTCATCTTTCCCAATGTGCAAAGCTTATAAGAGCCTGCAGACATTTCCCACCTGCTCAGATCATACCTTCCTCTTACTCTGGCCTTCTGAACTAAGTCCCCAAATCAACTGCGCCCCTTAAAGGAGCCACTTTTATTTTTCCTGGCAGTCTAGACAATCTCATTCCATTTGTCCTTTGAGGTTTGTGGGGGCTGAACTGTAAATGGAAAATTCTGTAATCATTTCTTATGCATGAAGTATTAGGCTTGAATGGACTATTATCTTCCAAACACGAATGCTTTTATGGTCATTTTAAAGAACTAAGTAGTATTCTGTGAAAAACTTTCCTCCTCTTCAAGTAAGTCTGCCTTTAAACAAATAATGAGTTGTTTATGAGGAAAAAAAAGAAATAAACTATTGCCCTTGTACTACAGACATTATCTTGTTAAATAATGGTCAAAGGCTTCAGACAAACCAACCCTGGAAACCTTTTACAGTTGTTTTGCAATGTCCTTTCTTTTTTCTTTCAGCACAGTGGAGCAGAGATAAATCAGTTTCACCTGTGCAGAAATTTAGACTGAAACCATTTTGTCTATTCCAGGTGCTGGCCAGCCTGCGTACTGTACGGAATAACTTTGCTGCATTAACCAATTTACAAGATCGGGCACCCAGCAAGTGAGTGTCAATTTTTGGCCACTGAACTTCTTGCAGTGATACTTTTTAAATGTAAACTAAGAATAACAATTAGATGTTGCAGATTTCAGTCTGTGCCACCAAACCTGCATAAAACATGTAGATGAGTAATGAGTTTATTAATCCCTTGAAGATGCTATACTTGATAGCTGAGACAACAGCCCCCTTGCCTACTAATTGCTCTTGCATTGCTGTCCTTGCATAAACTTGGAGTGGTTTTGTGCAATTTATATGATTTTCAATAAATTAGTCATATGTCAAAGATCATTCAAAGATGATCATTCAGGCAGAGTCTGAGTCTTGCAAATGAACCAAAGGGAGCAGAGAGCTACACTCATTGTGAGCTACTTGTGTGATCTGAACCTAGAACTCTGCCTAACTCATCCAAGATAATGACATCCCACTTATCCACAGTAGTTCATGATTATAAATGAGACGTTATAAATATGATCTTTCTCCAATCGTGTTACAGCATCACAGTCAACATTAACATTAGTTACACTGGCAAATTTTGTAGTGGAGTCATTTCCCTCACCCAAAATGTGTGTCTCTAGAACTTGTAAGTAATTAGCATTCCAAGGGCAGCTGCCTACCATTGCATATGCAGTGCTACCAAAAGATATTTCTAGCCCCCTTGGTTGGGATAAGCAGACCCTATGCGGCCCCTGCTTGCAGTCATTCACATCCCTATGCAGTTGTGTCAGTCCAGCAACTTCTAGCTTTCTTCAATGGGCAAAGCAGTCCACTGAGCTGTTTTCCTTAAAGATCATTGTGAAAGGTATACGCAAAATAATGTGTGAAATGTATATGCAAAATAATAGAGTGAAAAATAATTTTAAAAAAATATTTCAAGTCAGAGAATGTGGGAAGTACAAGACGTTAGAATAATGATAACTATGTATATAAATCAAACTTCAAGCTAGGTATATGCTCTAGGTATGATTAGGCAGGTTTTTAACGAACTTGTAAATTCCTAAATTGTTCGTCTCTTGGAGTTCCCAATCTGCAGAGAGGCTTCAGGGTCAGTTGTGAATTCCCTTCTACACTAGAAAGAACTATCTGTTCTAAACGAACTTTTTTTTTGCAATGCCAGGGTATTCCAGTTCCAAATAATTTCCCAAGGAAATGTATTTTCTATTTTATTGTTCAAGGATTCAGTCATCCGTGAGTTTATCAGGCTTGTACCTTTTTTTCTTTTCTTTTAAACAGACGATCACCAATGTGTAACCAACCATCAATTAACAAAGCAACTATAACAGGTAAGAAGAATTAATATGACTATAATTCCTCTATGAAACCATCACGGATTTCTAAATTTAATATTTATTTATAAAAACATCTCACTGAAAACTGCATTTTATAATAATAACCTTATATTTTTTCATATCCTTGTATCTGTTTTATTAAAGAGGATTTGCGTCATGTGGTGACTCAGATTGGTAACTTTTGGTGTTGTATCATGTTAGCTTTCTGATTTCTGTCTTATTATCCTGGTTTTAATCTAACTTCTTTCCCAATTTTTTTTCCCTTCTGTACCAGTGTGTGACCATGTTATGATTACCTTCATTAGTAACTTTTTGCAATGAAATGTAGTAGAAAGAACCGGTATAAGGAATGCATTGATCTTTCATTTGGGACATGGAGTTCTGTAGCTATACCGAGGCAAAGTCTTTGCATTACAAGCCCTTAGGCAATGAGGAGAAATTTTCAAAACTGACTTTTCTGATTTAGGATGGTAAATTCTATTTCTATAACATTTGTAGGTGAGTAAGAGAAAAATAATTCCTTTGTAAAAGACACTATTATTTCTAAAGAAGCATTAACTTGAAAACAGGACTGGCATTGTAAATTATGTGAACACTTTTGAAAATTTTACCCTGCGGCACTTTTGGTTGTTATTATGATGGCAACTTGGTCTTGGACATCTTTATGGGAACACACTTTATTTGTCCTCATATTTTTTACATCATGTTAATCCATGTGTTCTTACACTGTGTAATTTTCCAGGTAGTTACATTCTCTATGGTGTGTTGGCAGAGTGAAAGAGCATTTGCTTTGCCTCTTGATGAAAGTATATAGACACTTACTCAACAGACAATTTATCATTTAAATCAAAAACTTAATGTTTCCAGAATTTTCAAAATAGCTCATCTTTTTAATTCTATAATAGATTTGTAACTCAAGGAAGAAATGGTACTTCAGCTCTTTTGAGAATTATGGCTTTGTCATGTTCAATAGTTTCTGTCTTTACGCTCTGGAATATGTTAACATTGTTAGTTTTTTTCATCTAGCCTCACATAAAATCCATATTTACCTCTAAAAGACCTAATCTTGGCAGTTCTGTACAATTTTATTCTCCTAGGAACTCATCATGTAATCTGAGCATTTGTGTGTAGGGCTCATCAGAGAACAGAGGATTAAATCTTTAAATCTGTTCTATAAACAGAAAAGCATCCTTAGTTAAGAATGTTCTGCAATCATACTTAAAATCATGGTAATTAAATAAATAGGAAATGGAGTCAGGTAAATGCTTAGATCAATTATAATCCTTTGTTAATGTATTCCTTTAAGAGGTAATTTTGGGCGTTGGTTTCAAATTACTCTTCATGAGACATTTCAGTTATTGATAGATGTTACACCTATTTTTAATTGTGGGATTTGTCTCGTACAATGCAGTCACCCAGAAGTCTGTTATCTTAACTGGAGAGAGATACTGGAAAATAGGGTTCTTTCTTTGGTTCCAAGGGACTAACTTTAGAAAGCCTATAACACAGTAAAATCCCTGACAGTAAAAGAAAATGTGATATCCAGAAGAGAAGATATGCATGCATGGGAACACACAGAGAGCTTACCTTACGTGTTCTCTCACAGTTGTTTGCCTGAGGTCAGCTTCTTTTCTCCAGCAGGAGAAGCTGCTCAGACAGCAGGACGCAAGACACACTCTGCTGGAAGATGCTTCTCCTCTTTTTAAATTCCTCCCGATCTGAAGGTTTCCACTCAGTTAATCCTCAGAGTGCACTCTACATCTCAGAAGCAGTTAATCGTCTGAAGTTTTAATGTTTAGAAGGAAGGCGGTGCAGTCAGTGCTGCAATTAATCTAGAAAATGCTTCTGTGCCAAGAAATTTAAAGGAAGCAAGAGAAAGTAAAGAATAGTAAGGATAATTTCATTTAGTTTAATTTGATTTCTCAGAGATGCTGCTAGAATTGCTGTGCCCAAATTATGCATTGAACTAGGTGAGCTGGGGCCTGTGTGCATTGGATATAAATGGCTAAAAGACTTTAATGATACAGGAAAGATGTTAAGCCACTATAAACCATGAAAATTGCTACAATTCATTTTGACTGTTGAATGGAGATTGAGGCTGGATACTATTTTGCCTGAACGGATTTGCCCATTCTTAGTCATAGGCTGTTTTTGATATTTCCATAGTAACAAATTTCATGGCGTAAGTGCAGAAGTATGCATAGGTGCTTTCTTGGGGCATATAAAATCCTAGTAAAACATGTTGCACTACAGCACTATGCCAAGGAGGAAGATACATTACAAACACTTTCCCTGGTTTTCACAGTTTGAAATGTGAATGAAAACCCTTTCAGATGCTACTAAGCTTTTCGAATTCTTCTGGGGAATGTTTGAAACG